TGGACCCCCCCAGCCCGCAGGCCGATGCTCTATCCACTGAGCCAAACCGGTTTCGGCTATGTTTCTCTTTTATTAGATAGGATAGTATAGAGGCCTGGTTCATGGGTGGGGCTGGCTGGTTTGCCCTGAAGGGTGTCCTGGATCAGGGGGGGAGGTGGGCGGGGGTTCCCGGGCCAGCCTGGATGAGTGGCTGATGGCTGTTTTCAGGCTGGCCACAGCCCTCTAGGATGTGGGGGATCCCTCTGGGGTTCCTGGCCAGCCTGGGTGAGGGGCTGAGGGCTTTTTTTAAGCTGCCCACAGTCCCTTCAGGGTGAAGGAGTCCCTCTGGGGTGCCTGGCCAGCCTGGGTGAGGGGCAGATGGCCGTTTTGAGGCTGGCCATGCCCCCCGGTGACCCAAGCTCCCAGCCTCTCCTTTTTTTCTTTATTTCTAGGATTTATTTGTCTTCTGTAATTGAAACTTTGTAGCCTTGAGCGGAGCTGAACATCAGCCAGGGCAGGCGGGAAGCTTGGCTTCCTCCATCGCCTGGGCCAACCCAAGCCTCCTGCTTGCTCCAGCTCCGTGGTTGCAGCCATCTTAGTTGAGTTAAATTGCATACTCGCTCCTGATTGATTGGTGGGCGTGGCTTGAGTGTAGCAGAAAGACGATTAGTTTGCATGTTTCTCTTTTATTATATAGGATGGTTTCAATTTGCATTTCTCTGACAGTTAGTGACATTGAGTATTTTTTCATATGTCTGTGGTTCATCTGTATGTCTTTTTTGGAGAAGTATCTATCCAGGTCCTCTGCCTTTTTTTTAAAAAAATATTTTTTTCAGAGATGAAGGGAGAGGGAAGGGGGATAGAGATAGAAACATCAATGATGAGAATCACTGATCAGCTGCCTCTTGCATGCCCCCAACTGGGGATCGAGCTCACAAGCCAGGCACATGCCCCTGATCAGAATCTAACCTGGGACCCTTCAGTCCGCACGTCGGTGCTCTATCCACTGAGCCCTCTATCCACTGAGCCAAACCAGCCAGGGCATCCTCTGCCATTTTTTAATTGGATTGTTTGGGGGGTTTTTTTGGTGTTGAGTTGCATGAGTCCTTCATAAATTTTAGATATTAACCCCTTATCAGATGTACCATTGACAAATTGCTTCTCCCATTTAGTAGATTGTCTTTTTGTTGTTTTGATGGTTTCCTTTGCTGTGCAAAACCTTTTTAGTTTGATATAGTCCGTTTGTTTATGTTTTTTCCTTTGGACAGACTATGGTTATTTAGATTTAGGCATTGGACAGACATTTTTTAAAATATAAACAAAGCCTGTTATTGCTTCAAGGCAAACAACTGATATTATTTGTTACTACTAATTATTTATTTATTTATTTTTAATATATTTTAATTGATTTCAGAGAGGAAAGGAGAGGGAGAAAGAGATAGAAAGGGGATGTGCCCGCAACCAAGGTACATGCCCTTGACTGGAATCGAACCTGGGACCCTTGAGTCCGCAGGCCGATGCTCTATCCACTGAGCCAAACCGGTTAGGGCTACTAATTTTTTTAAAAGAGCTTCAAGCAGAGCCCTGGTCGGTTTGGTTCAGTGGTTAGAGCGTTAGTCTAAAGAGTCTTGGGTTTGATTTCTGATCAAAGACATGTCTCCTGGTTGCAAGTTCGATCCCCATCCCCAGTTGGGACATGTGTGGGGGACAACCAATCAGTATGTCTCTCTCACATTGACATTTCTTCCTCTCTCTCTCTGTGAATGTACTTTGGTTGCAGTCACATCCCCAGTAGGGGGTGTGCAGGAGGCAGCTGATTGATGTCTCTCATCGATGTTTCTAACTCTCTATCCCTCTCCCCTCCTCTCTGTAAAAAATCAACCAAATATATTTTAAAAAAAATAAAGATCAATGGAAAAAATATCCTCAGTTGAGGTTTTTTTTAAAGTTTTCCATCAGAAATTGTAATTTAGAAAGTTTATATCCATGATTGTGAGCTTAATAGTGCCTCACTTTTTTAAAGACTTTCTGATGAGATTATTGGTGACATTAAAATGGTGATTTTTAAAATATTGCATAAGAAATGGTTAATATTTGAATTGTTTGCATAACTCAGTGAACATATTTTATTTTTAATTTTTTTGTTAATCCTCACCTGAGGATATTTTGTCATTGATTTTTAGAGAGAGTGGAAGAGAGAGGTTAAGACAGAAAGAAACATTGATGTGAGAGAAGCACATCGATTAGTTGCCTCCTGCATGGGCTGGGGAGGAACCTGTAACCAAGGTATGTGCTCTTGACCAGTATCAAACCCACCCCCCTTC